TTTCCTCTCTGATTCAGGTGTCTCATACCTTTTTTTATTCCTTTGTTTTTTTATTCCTCTCAAACAATACAGACCCCAGTCGAAGCCTTCAGATTGGTAGGAAGTTTTGAAGAAGGGTTTCCCCTGCTTATCAAAGTCTAGCTGGTACAAAATCGAGACTGTCTAGATAACAACGTTAGCGCTGCTGCCAGTTGTGTCGGGGCTTGAAGATGCCCTGTGGGTGAAAGCAGGCTTGTGCACTTGCAGGACCCCGCGCCCGCTGGAGCCTTGGGCTCCGGAGCCCATCGTGCCAGGTCCCGGGCTCCGACTCCAGCCCAGCGCTGCGGTGACGGCTCTCGTTCAGTCTAACAGCGCTGAAGTGGGGCTTTGGGGGGGCAGGGGGAGGCAGAGGGGCCGTTTGTAAGCAGTGCGACTCAGTTGGCCAGTCGCTCCGTTTTCCGTCGGCGGGGTGCTGGATGCTTGTGGCCGAGTAAGAGCTCACCTTTTCCTTCTGCCCAACCTCGCAGCGACGCTGGAGCCCCGTGTTGGACGTCGCAAATTCTCGCCACAGGGGTAAATACTTGCAGGGAGAAGTTTGTTATCTGAAGTCACATCTTGGTTAGTCATCAGCTTGTTCGTCCTGCCTTTGAGAAGCTGCTGAGAAAGAAACAGTTTCAGTCGTAAACGACAGGTTCTGTGGTTTTTCCAGACATGAAAGACACTATGGAAAATAACTGTCTCCCAGTAAATATTGTCGATTAATAAAAAAGAACAAATTCATTGGCAAATTTTCTGTAGATTTTCTTTTGTTTTCCATGTCGTTCCTCAAACTTTGATGTTGTTTCCATTGGAAGCTGCGACGGGGCCATCATATACAGTAAATTACAAGTGCTGGCTGCAGGCGGGAATGAACATCTTTTGGATTTTGCTTTTTAGCCAGAAAAGAAAGAGAGCAGCTGCTCTTAGTGATTTCTTGTTTTCTGTCTCTGCTTTTGCCTTGCTCCACGCCAGTACATGTACCATGCGGTGAAAGGTCCTGTGTGGGTACTGAAGGATGCCACTTCTTCACCCTGCCAACCCTCCGAGCTCCTTGGAAACTGCTTCTCATGTAAACATTATAAGGATATTGCTCAGTACTGCTAATTTATCACTTCTACCAGATGGGTAGTAAGTAGCCTATTAACATTCACAAAGCGAGCGTCCAATTCCTTCACATCTCTAAACACATCGCCCCGGGATTCCTAAGATTTATGGCGTGGAGTTTTCCCATGTTCCGAGCCCCTCCGTACGGCCGGCGGAGGTGCGCGGTGCCTGACGTGCGGTGGCAGCAGGCAGTCGAAGGCAAATACCCTGCCCAGGTAGGCTTGGAGGAAAGGAGCATGGGTTTTGGGATGCTGCTCTGACGGAGTTTGAGCTCTGGCATTTCTTGCTTTTTCATCTCGTGTGCAAAATCCAAATTTTTGTGATACTCTCAAGTATTCCTGTTACGGTGAGGAGCATTGTGCCATCGTGGCTGGGGGGGGGATAGGGGCTGTGGTGCAAGAATGAGGAGGAGGGGGTGATATGCTTTATTACTTGTAGGTCTGATACAAGATGAGAAGGTTTTTGAGCCCGGTCATCTACCTCGATATTGCCATTTTCCTAATAACACCCCTTTCTCCAGCTCACTTCTTCTCTCCCCCTCCCCCAAATCCCAAGCCCCTTTGTCTGCCCCACAGAACAACTTCTCTGTCTTTATGGGATAATTAGTGTGGACAATTGCTGCTTTTCCCATTGGATTTGAGGTGCAGTGAGCCATGAAGGAATCTGTAATGACATGAAAAGTCACTGGAGGCGCGGGTGGTGGCTGAATAGCAACAGTTACCTCTCTGAATAGATTAAATTAAAAAAAAAAAGCTTTGTGTTCAGCTGGGGGAAGGGAGGATTCACTAATCTTTTTGTGCATGACAATGTGGTTTTGTATCTCGGCAGCTCAAGGAAGAAATCAGGCGGGGCTTCGCAGGACTGGAGGACCCACTGGCAGGACTCCTGGACATGCTGGAGAGCAGCAGTGATTGGAAGGGGAAAGGGCATTCCCTCGGGTATTACATCACCACCGAGTTGCAGCTTTGGATAAAAGAGCATCCTGCTGTTCAACAGGTTAGAAAAAGAGAGAGCAAGAGAGCCTGGAGAAAGGAGAGGGCAATTGATTTTAATGTCTCTTAAGTGTTCCCAATGTCACTTCATTCCATAGTCGACTGTCTTCTCTGCAGTCTCATGCAGACACGGTGTGACGAGGTGTGAAATTGGTGCTGAGATGTTGTTATGGGTTGTATGCTGGCCTGAAAGTGAAATAGTATTAGAAGCTGTGATAGGAGAGCTCCATTTCCCCATCCGAGCTGGGAGTTCCATCTTTCCAGATCAAACCACTTTGATCAAGCGTTGATCTTGCAGCCTTTGCTGGGCTGGAGGCCTTCCCACTGGAACTCATGTCCTGCTGTCCGGATAAAACCAGTTGCAGTAATCTACTCTGCACAGTCTTCCAGTTCTGCAAGTAGAAGCCAGTTACTGTACGATTGCTCAACTCCTGCCATATGGTGGGGAGTTTGTGTCCTCGGGAATGCAGAAAATGGTAACAGGATGACTTTTCAGCAGCTGAGTGATTAGCTTTGTAACGTTGGGTCATCAGATTGTACGTCCTGATGTTTAGCATTCCTTATGCCTTCATATATTCTCACCTCTTGAGATTTTCCTTTTTTTTATGTGCTTTTCCCTCTGAACTGCAAGATACTTTTGTATTTGTGTTGTTCCATTTCCCATTTTTCCAAATGGCTCCTTTTAGATGTCGAGCTCTGCCATTACAGTATCTGCCAAGTGCCATGAAGTGCTACTGGCGCTGAAATTCTTATAAGAGAATGATTGTGTAGGAACACAAGGATTAATATTTGTATCCATGCGTCTTGTGACAATGCTTTTGCTTTTCCTGCACCCAGGAGCAAGCCTGGGAATGAAAACTGAATTCTTATGTCTGATAGGTAAGATTTCCCTTGAGGAGAGTTGCTGGATTCAAAGATTGTCTGCTGGGAACTAGAGGGGAGAATTTCTAAATAGCTGTGTCAGTAAGAGAGGGCATTTTTCCAGTTTCATATTTTACTTTCGCACAAGGCCACATGCCTTTTCCAGAATTATCCCGCAAACATTTCATGGTTTTAAATTGGATGCTGTGAAAAAAATGTGTATCATATTGTTCTGATTTCTGCTCGCAGACTCCATGGGGAAATTGGAGAATCCCTTCCCAAGGAATTGGCTTATTCCACTGTTTAAACAAGCTGCATTTTCAACTGCCGTTAAATTGTAGCCCTCTTTACTAAATCTGATTTTTTTTTTTTTTTTTTTTTAACTTTTTTGTTTTCAGTCTGGCACCAAGCTGAAGAAGCTGCAGGCCCGTGTACTCGGAATCCTAGCCCAGTGCCCAGCTAATCTTCTTGACCCTTTGATTAGCATTTACCAGCTCCATACAGCAGACCGGAACTGTTTGCTTGAACGTGTCAGTCATCTTTATCACAAAGGCGATTACAAAGAGGTGGGTCATGTCTTCCAAAGAAACGTACCTACCCGGCTCTCCGGGTCCCTGTTGATGTCTGTGTCCTTTTCTGGATGCGTTTCAGTGTGAATTCCATTTCATCACAGCAGCCGCGCGCTGTGAGTGGCGCAGCTTAGCATGGTCTTCCCATGTGCATGAGGACGCTGCGTTCAACCTCATTTTTTCTGATGGCTGAGTACAGAATGCCAGCGAGTCCTTCCTCCGCCTCTTTCTTGACCTTTGAAAGTAATGGGTTAATAGGGTTTAATTTGGAGAATTTAAGGGGATGGCCGTGTTCTGTTTTGTTTTCCTTGTCCTTGGCAATAAAAGAAGGGGTTTTAGTAGTTGGTCATAGACCTGCTGTGCTATCTCCAAGCTGCCTGCAGCGAGGAGGGGAGTTGGAAGATCTCTCTTCCCACGTGATTACCCTAACCAAAGGGTTCTCAGTTTGAGGAGTTTCGAAGCCTCTTTACTGGTGGGGCTCATATTCAAAATGCGTTACTCCTCGTGTATTTGAGTTCGAGTGGCTGACACTGGCAGGAGTTCCCCAAACCCAGAATTTGATAGGTTTTACCCTGTACTTGCAGCATCTTTGGCATCACCGTGATGTCTTGGGAGCCTTGCGAGCGTTCTCATGAACAGACTACAATACTGTCAATGCTTTTTTTTTTAAAAAAAGGCAAAAACCGTACATTCGTTTTTCTCAGAGGAAGATGGTTCACTTTGATGGTGTAGAACAGCTTGATCTTGTTTAGCAAAATAAAAAAATCAAATAGCGTTTTTAAAATCCTATTCTTCAGTAAAGCCAAATTCCCAAGTGAGGTCGTGGAATTCTATTCTTGTTGATTTCTTTGAATACTGAAACAAGGATATTTCATATTTGATTAGAAGTTCACAGGTTGCTGCTTGAAAAACCTCTTTTGCTCAATGAGGTTTTGAACATGAATGTTTGAAAATCCTAACAGAAACGTAGTATTTGACTATTTTCAAGTGGGTTTTTTAAGTTCATGGCTCCAAAGATATTTATTGTTGTCATTAGAAATGCAGTTCTTTCTAGATCTGGTTTTGGAAAGCTCTAAACCATTTTTTTTTTTTTGGTGGAATTGTTTTTCTGTTCTTTCCTCCACAGTAGAGCTCATTCCCAGTGTGAAGAACAGGAAACCTCAACTGTTGCTTACCCTCAGCCATAACTTTCTTCTAGTTTTGTTTTGTTGCCAGAAGGATGAATAGAATTATCTTCAAGAATAACAGGAAATCTTTTACTGCCCTTCGGGACTGATCATACCTAAGTTCACAGCAGCTAACCCCAAAAAACCTGGACCTAGGGCTCTGAGCACTTGCAGTGGGCTGCGGCGTGTCTGTTCGTCCTGCTCTTCCTCGTCTTTCAGATGGGGCAGTAAAGCAGATTGGCGTGTAGGATTTTTGTCTCTTCTGTCTCTCACTTGAAAGGACAGAAATCCTTATAAATCCTTGCAGTCATTTTTTGTTTTCTTGCTGTATTTACAGTAAGACACCAGGTGTTTGTTCTAGAGCACGTTATTCCCTTTGCCTGTTTTGATGCATTTCCTAGGTGGTGTGCAAACCATGGAGGTGCCCAGCTCTGCCCCAGGGGTTGAGGCTCACAGAGGTTTTGGAGAACAATCTCCTCAGAAAACGAGATCCCAGAGATCCCTGGGACGGCCATGGTGATGGTTTGTTTCTGATGCACATCCAGCCCTCCCTGTGTGCCTCGGTTTAGTAGAGCTGGTCAAAAGCTGAACTGGTTTGTGGATCGCAGCAGCACCAGGAGTTTTGCCGTGAGCTACTGGGAACGGGTGCAGGTGTCGTGGGGGCAGCAGGAAAATCATCAGCTGTGTAGAGGCGGGGGGG